TGTTACTACGACTTTTACTTTTATCAAAGTGTGGGTCARCYGGAACTGCACGTCTTTTCTAAGCTCAGGTTCCACATGACACGTCACTCYGAACACATCAGCTTTACCTGGTGATGACTTCTTAAGGCACCCTCGGTGTAGGAGCTGGCTCGCCTCCGATCAGTCAGGGAACTGATGTCGGCTCACTTACCGGTCATTGGTGAACAGGTGTTTTCATGGGTAACTTTCGTCTGTTTCAGTCCAAGCCAGAAAAATTCAAACTGTATCCGGTCCCTTCTTTCCAAAATAAAATCTCCCCTCAGGAGTTAAAAACACACTTAGAGGTTTGGCCTCGGGGTGAGACCGGCTGGCGTGCCGAGTCCCTGGCTGTTAAGTCTTCCCTAGTTAGCTCATGGGCTCAGACCTAAAAACCAAACTGGGTTCCCTCCAGAGAGAATCCCAGCTGTCTTCCTCGGTTGGAGTCAGGAAGAAGAGTGTGTCGCTCAAAGCCGTCCGGGTTAGTAAAAGAAACAGACGAACTTTGGTTCCGCCCTCAAGCTTAGAGATGAGTCAGTAAAAGAAAGATACAGATTTGCCAGCTGGCGCCAGCCCAAGGTTAAAATTCTGTGGTTGTTCAACAACATGATATGATGACCTCTTTTCAGCTTTCTTCTGATAGACTCTAAGAGAAATCACTGCAAAACATTTATGATGATTAATTAACATTTCTGTTTTATAATCAGTCTGAACCTTCTGTTAGTCCAGATAAATGAAAGATTTYCTAAGGAAAAATCCACAATTATATTACTGTGTTCACAGTAAAATAAAAACAGTGATTTACATAAAAACACAATGAAAACAGTGTAATGAGATTCTGATTTTTTTATACCATTATTAATCTTTTAAGGCACGATAAAAGAAAAGAAGTGGTTCCACTTTTCCTGTGACAGTCATTATCATGATTTAACAAATGCATAAACATTCTTAGTTAAACAACAAATGAATCACGAACAGAAGAGATTGTTCTGTCCGTTATCTGATTAAGAGAACTGAGGGGTTCTCTTCCACGGTTAGAATGACCTGTCATGGCCTAAATAGAGTTCAGTTTGTGACAGAGTTCCTGTCCTCTCGTCAGGCCTGTCCGAGGCCTGCTTCGAGGCAGTAAATCTTGTTTCTTCACCCGAGGTGACCCCTACAATTATAAGTAGCTACAAATGACCCATTACTCTGAAAATGTCATAAGTTGTAATTTGATGAACTATTTGTTGATTAGTTCATACTGATAACTTCATGACATGCTCCTTTTAAATCAATGTTTCATTACATGTTACAAGTAAAGCAATAAACTGATGGGAAAACTCGACTTTTTAAAAAGCTGTATCCTCTCTTTGAGGGAAAAGGCAAATAAAATACAAAAACTACATTTTATGGGGCATTAAAATAAACTTTTACTCCAATCACAATTGAGTTTTTCAAACATACATCATTAACAAACAACAAGGTGTTTTTTGAACAAAATGTTTTCCAATGATCATTACAAACAAACTGCAGACATTTTCACAAATGAAGTGCATCAGATTGAATGCAGACTGTATCATCAGGAGAACTGAATGCATCATGTTTGTAACACTGCACTCAAACATAAAGCAACATGTTCTCCACATAATCAGAGACCTGGAGGCATCACAGGTTCTGAAAGGTTCTGTGAGCATCTCCTGACATTTAGCTCGTCAGCAGGGGGAGATAAAAGACTGCAGCCTGTCAGTGTTTCCTCATTTAACAAACTGGAGCCAAATATTCATGAACTCACACAAATAACTATGAACCAAAATAGTCTTTAAAGTTTCTCTGAATGATTAGAGAAAAATCAACAAACTTATGCTATAAGTTAAAAGACCACACATGAAACTTGTAATGTTCTAAATATCAAATATGTGTTAAAACATTTTACAGAAATGTGAAAAAGTCCAAATTTACTCTACAAAACTAAGTATAAAATAATACCAGTCATCTTTCTGATTGTCTCTGACCCACATTTCTGAGCAGCTTCAGAACAAAGCTTCACAGTCAAGTTAAAAAACACACTTGGCTCTTCCTGAACAGTGTTTAAAGCTGTGACTTCATTTTGGTGCAGCAGACTCTCCACACAGCTTCCTGTGAGGACGAGAAGAAAAGGGTCAGGCCTGAGCTCAGCTTATTCTGACCTGATGTCCCTCTGGGACCAATGAAGGAGTTTTCAATTGGATTGAATCAAATCAAATCAAATCAAATTGAATTGAATCTTACCGTGCTTCCTCTTTGGTCATGTCTGCAAAGGCACAAATAGTTTTGTCTCGGTCTAAAATCTGCTGTTTCAAGCTCTGAATTTCCTCCTGAGCTTTGTTTTTAGCCTCTTCATGATCACCTGAGGAGAAAGTGGAAAAATGACCTGATAAGTGTTTTTTTTCTCTCCTGTTTAATCAGCAGTTTAAGATTAAATAAAGAAGCTCATTAAAAATAAAATGAAAAATGATCAAATCAAAGTGTTTTTAAAGACGAACCTTTCACTTTACTTGTGGCTTCTTCCAGTTCTGCCTTTCTCTTCTCAGTCTCTGCCTGCAGGTGAAATCATTTTTATTTCTTATTTTTATTAAAACTCTTCTCATAAAACGCAGACTGAGCAGAGCTGCATCCTTCTTCTCTACCTTCTCTGAGTTGCAGCTCTCCAGGATCTTTTCCGCCTCCTTCGCCGCCCTGTCCGCCTCCTCCTTCTTCTTCTTCAGCGCGTCCAGTTTGGAGTTGGCGGCCTCCAGAGTGCCCTTCAGCTCCAGGACTTTGTTTTTCATGTCCACAACCGAGTCCTCCTTCCTCCGCAGCTCCACCGCGCTCTCCACCAAGCGCTCGCGCATGTTGCGCAGGTTCAGCTCCTGGCGCAGCGTCTGGAAGATCATGACGGCCATCACCGCCGCGCTCATCACGGAGAAGAAGATCAGCAGCTTCATCTTCTGGCTGGTGACTGGGACTGGGACTGGTGACTGGGAGTGGGCCGAGCTGCAGGTGGTTTGGAGAGGTTCACTCGTTCATCCCGGGAACGTCTCCAGGTTTTCTCGCGTCTCTCGCCTTGACTTCTGGACTCTGCTGGACCTGTTTTACTTGTCAAACAGGCTGGGCGGGATCAGACACCTGTTTCCTGCCTCTTTGCTCAGTCCTTAGTGTGCAAATAATTTGTACTGCATCCGGATTATACTCAGGATTATCCTCAAGCAGCTGCTGCAAGTTCAGAAAAGCGCGTTTTTATTCAAATAAAACCCTTAAGTTCAGTTTTTAAGCTGAATAAATAATAATTCTCAGGTTCTTACAGGTGTAGCAGTTGGGTGTTTTAAAGGTGTTTATTGTTCCTGTTGCTAAACCAGGAAGAGGGCGTTGTTGTTTTTAACTCAGGCAGCTCAGGTCCAATAGAAAGGCGCTGCGTAAAGGCGCACAGGTGAGGCGCGCGCAGCAGGTGAACGCGGTGAGACCACAGCGCTGCTCGTTGAATCTGCATGGAAATAAAGCTACCTGGGCTGTGTGACACCTGCAGGGAGGTCAGCTTCTAGTAAAAGACAAAGAAGCGGGGATACAGGATGAAGGTGCAGCTGGTGTTACCCCTGACCATCCTGACGTCAGCCATGTTGGTGGGCTTCGTCAAAATCCGGAGGAAGGAGGTGGAGAAGCAGGAGAAGCTGAGCCGCTTCCAGGACATCAAGATCCGGGTGACCAGCGAGGTGCTGCAGGAGTACCAGAACGACCAGATCGAGGGTCAGAAGCACGTAGAGAAGGCTCAGAGCGACACGAAGAGCATGGAGGAGGAGGTGGACATGCTCCAGACCAAAGCGGACAAGACTAAGGGCGATGCAGACATCTGCCTGGGTGCCAAGGTGCGCAATCTGTGCGCGCTCACACGCACATTCAGAGCTGATAACTTCCTTCTTTCTTCATCAGCTTCAGTTTCATTCTTATTCTGTTATTTTTCAGCCTTAATATGATCTGTTTTCTATATTTTCCTTCAATTTTTTAATCTTTTTTTTATCGAAACTTTTTTCTCGTCATTGGGGAAACTTATTGAGTTGCAGCATTCACATTTAGTAGAATCAAAATGAAGCAAATAAACCTTCAGAAGAGGTAAACTTTTAAATATATCTGAGGATTAGAATCAGTTCATGTCAATAAAGTCTTTTTGTTCTGGAGAAAATAATTATCTTAACCTGAACATTTTCTCAGACAAGCTTCGGTTAATAACTCATTGTGCTCTGTACAATGACTTTAAGTTCTCTCTAATCTAATCTAATCTAATCTAATCTAATCTAATCTAATCTAATCTAATCTAATCTAATCTAATATTTGCTCAGTGACCTTGCAAACAAATGTTAACACATTTGTGCAGTTTCAGTCCTTGTAAAACAGAGAAACAACAAAGATAAAGTTTGAGAATCTGACCTTGAGCTTCGTTTTCCTGAGACGTTCCCACTAAGACAGACCAGCTCCTGTAAATCAGCACAAACAGGAAAATCAGGCTCATTTGGTTCAATCAGAAGAGGACATGATGAACTGACTTTAGGCTTCAAAATGTCTCTTATTTGCTGAGCTGTAAACTGACCAGTTTGTAGTTTTGGGTCATTTTATTATCTAATGTCACTATAAGTAAAAATCAGTCATTTACATCATGCTGCTTTGTTGATCTTATCTTTTGCTGCCTTACCTGAGACATCCAGAAAATCTGACTCAGTGACTCATAAAGTCAGACTTTTCAGAGTCTGAGTTGCTGAAACTCTAACCTTTGTTTGCAGAAAAGTGATGCAGATCAGTTGGCAGCGTCTGAGACTAATTTAAACAATGTTAAAGGTAAGAAGCTTCTCACGGCTCTCAGTTTCAAAGCTGATGAAGCAGAACGTTGAACATATTTCATCAAACCTTTTATTATATTTCAGTTTGTTGAGCAGACGGTTTGATTGAACTCAGCTTCTTTATGACCCTGTCACTCACAGAGGAGTCGCAGAAGGAGATGTCCGACCTGAAGAGAGAAGTTGATGAGCTGAAAAAGCAGCTGGCTGATCGGAGCCCAGTGTGCAACGTCCTGAAAGAAACCCCGGACCCCATAAAGTAAGAGTACCCCTTCTTTAAATATGCTGAATACATTTGTGTTATAAATTCCACTGCTCATACATTACATTTTTCTTTTAAAGGACTATGTGTGGCATTAAAGACGAACCCAAGCCTAAAGAAGAGGAGGCTCCCAAACCAGAGGAGAAAAAAGTAGAGCCCCCCAAACCAGAGGAGAAAAAAGTAGAGCCCCCCAAACCAGAGGAGAAAAAAGTAGAGCCCCCCAAACCAGAGGAGAAAAAAGCAGAGCCCCCCAAACCAGAGGAGAAAAAAGCAGAGCCCCCCAAATAATAAGAACTAAGTACAGGGACCTCATCAGGCACTACAATGTGTTTTTTCATCTGAGAGTCAACAAACATGTTCTCCAGGATCCTGGTGTCCATCAGGCTTCATGGATCTGGTTTTGCATGTCCAGGAGGACACGGTTACAGAGGATTTGCTTACTGAGCTCCTGCAGACTCACCACTGCAGACACACACAGAACAAAAACATCTTCTGAAGAACCAAGAAAAAAAAAAACAGTTCTGATCTTCTGAAGCAGAGTTTTGTGTGTCAGAGTTTATAATTATATAATTACATATTACAGCAGGTCACAACACTTACAGTAATGTTGCATGATGTGGATAATNCATTCAGTCAGACAGTCAGTCAGACAGTCAGTCAGTCAGTCAGTCAGACAGTCAGTCAGTCAGACAGTCAGTCAGTCAGTCAGACAGTCAGTCAGACAGACAGTCAGTCAGTCAGACAGTCAGTCAGTCAGTCAGACAGTCAGTCAGACAGTCAGTCAGTCAGACAGTCAGTCAGTCAGTCAGACAGTCTGTCAGACAGTCAGTCAGTCAGACAGTCAGTCAGTCAGTCAGACAGTCTGTCAGACAGTCAGTCAGTCAGACAGTCAGTCAGTCAGTCAGACAGTCTGTCAGACAGTCAGTCAGTCAGACAGTCAGTCTGTCAGACAGTCAGTCTGTCAGACAGTCTGTCAGACAGTCAGTCAGAAATATTAAATAAACTTGATTTCTCCAACCTGAGGTCACTCAGATAACTGTCTACATGGATAAGATGTTAAATGTTCAGAATCTTTTGAGAGAAAAACTTCAGAAGATCTGATAAAAATAAACTGTCAAACAAGACAAGTTATGATTTTAAAAAACTTAAATCAGTTTAACTATTAGTATATTTAATGTGTGTTAATGAGATACATTTAACAAACACAAGAGTTATTTTAGGAATAGCTGTAAAATGTTTATGGAATAAATTCTGTATAATTCACAAAGGAGGAAAAGAAGCAGGAGAAGAAATAAATATAAAAGTAAATTTTAGTAAATATCCAGAACTGTAATGTACTAATACACACAAGGCCATCAGGACTACACAACTCAAAAAGCAACAAGCCTTCCTGTGGTTTTTAGACTTAATATAGTTCAGATCATTGAAGCCTCAGTGTGTTTATCAGCACACCACTTTATATAAAGTTGCTACACAGAGCAGCCCACACGTGATAACACAACCAGGTGTGTTACAGTTGTGGCAGAAAGTGTTAAACCAGACAAAGTTTAAAAAAAGACCAGATGTTATCTCTGTCATCTGCATTCAGATGCCAACGTGGCTGGCGTTTGTGTGTGTGTGTGTGTGTGTGTGTGTGTGTGTGTGTGTGTGTGTGTGTGTGTGTGTGTGTGTGT